TGATATTGTTTTGTTCGGGTTTTGATGTTGTTGTTGTTGCTGTTGTTGTTGTTGTTGTTGTTGTTGTTGTTGTTGTTGTTGTTGTTGTTGTTTTGTTATTGCTATTGTTGTTGTGGGTTGTTTTGGGTTGTTTTTTAAATCTGTTAACTCTATTCAGTTGTTTAAATCCGACATCGTCGTCCACCTCTGATAGCACAAGACCAGATGGATGCAGATCTTTCAAAACTCTCCATACATTTCATGTTACACTGTGCAGAGGATTCGAATTAGATTCATTCAGCATGAACTAACCGAGTTTCAGTTGTCATTGCAAAGTAAAATACATATAATAAGATAGGAGGTGTTATACTGTTGACGGGTCACTCGAGCACAAAGGATCCGTTTTGACTTCACTCAAAATGTGTATTTTACGCGATGACATCTTTTATTTTGTCGAAATTAGATTCTAATCTTCGAAAAAGGGCATGGAAAGATCATACATATCGAGTTACAGTTGTCGTTTAAAGAAAGTAATATATTTTTTTCCTTCCCTGAAAAATACTGCTTTCTTATCATTTATTTTAAGAGCTTGACAATGTTAGGTATTATCAGAGACGAGTTCTTGCGCGCTGAATTATGAGCGATTCCACGCCATGCCGAAGGATGTGGTGCTGGTATGCAAAAAAAACAACAACAACAGGCTCTTGAAAAGACTAAAAAGCCTTGAGTTCATCGTTAAAATATAGACTGCCGTTCAACAAAACAATACCCAACATCTCAAAAGCAACTGGCACAACAACAAGAAGAACAACAAAACAAAGCATAAAAGCAAAGCAGAACGAAACAAAAGCAGCAAACAAGCAAACTCCAGGTTGATGAGTGTGCGCCTGAAACATGCAAAGACGTAAATAAATGAGCAAAAAATGAAACAAACCCAATATTCGGAAGATAAAATGGAGTCTGGTATAGGGAAAGACAGTAATTAGAACATGCCATCTATTAAGCGAAAGATATTACGGCATCTGCAAGAACAAAATAAAGCAGACAAGGGAGAAAGAGAGAGAGAGAGAGAGAGAGAGAGAGAGAGAGAGAGAGAGAGAGACACACACACACACACACACACACACACACACACATACACACACACAGGAGGGGGG